GAATTGAAAATAATTTAGAAAAGTTTAACTATAGAGATATAATGAATGGGATAAAAATTATAGAGGAATTAAGTTAATGTGTCATACTTTAAAATTATAAGATAAAGTTATGAAGCATATGTTACGACGTGATATTAATGTTTCTCAAAAATAATTTGGATTCATGATGAATAGGTCTCCTATGGAAGTTATTCATTTATGAATAGGTTTGATGGTTTGATACAAAGATAATAAGAAGGATCTACATATGATATTTATTAATTTAGAGAAAGCATATGATAGAGTTCCGAGAGAATGGTTATGGAGAGTTCTTGAAAAAAATGGATTAATAATGCTTATATTCAAGTCATTACTTATATGTATGCATGAGTTGCACTTGTGTTCAAACACAAGGTGGCTTAAGCCCATTTATTTTTGCTTTAGTCATGGATGTTCTTACTAGACATTTGCAAGAGGATAACCCTAGTGTATGATTTTTGCTGATGATATTCTTCTTGTTGATGAAACTACAAAGGGAGTTGAAGATAAACTTGAATTATGGGGGGGCAATCTTAGGTTCTAAAGGTTTTCATTTGAGTAGATCTAAAATAAAATACATGGAGTATAATTTTAGTAGTAATAGATCTCAGGGGATTGGAGCTTTGGACGATCAAATCATTAATAAGAATACATATTTTAGATGTCTTGGATCTATTGTTTAGAGTGGGTAAAATAGATAGGGATATTATTAATAGAATTAAAGTTGGATGGTTGAAGTAGAGGAATGCATCAGGCTTGTTGTGTGATAGAAAAACTTTCCTCGAACATAAGGAAAATTTCTATAAGATGGCGGTGAGGCCTACAATGCTTTATGGTGCAGAATGTTGGCCATTACAAGAGTTAAGTTAATTGTTGCAGAGATGATGATACTCAGGTGGATGAGTGACTTTACATTTAGGGACATGATATGAAAGCGCATAGACATGAAAAGTTTGGAGTAGCTGTAGTGGCAGATAAGATTAGATAGAGTCCCCTTAAAAGATTTGGTCACATAAAATGACTGCCTTTTGATGACCCGATTAGAAGAGTAAATATATTAGATTTGACTTATGTAAAAAAGGTAGAGGCAGTAGACATAAAAAAATTTGGTTAGAAAATATTAGAAATAACCTTTCTTTATTAAATTTAAAAGAGAATTTGACTCTTAGTAGGATATAATGGAGAAAAAGGATTTATGCAGCTGATTCCACATAGTGGGATAAATATTTGATGTTGTTGTGAAAGTGGTCAATTTACTTAAATGTTAAAAAAGAAAAAGAATTGACACATCATCAAAAAATTATCTTGATCGGGCATGAATCTCGATGCAAAATCAAGTTGGAAACTTCTGAAATTAAAATTGGGACTATCCAAACTCCGATTTCAGCAAACTTATAGTCGAATTGAACGTCTCGGAAATACGAACCCAAAACGACACCAAATTCGACTCAATCTGAGCCCAAATGAGTCCAATCAAGACCCGAAACGCTGTTGGAAGGTTCAAACCATAATTTGGATTACCAAAAGATTTCTAAACATGACGTGCTTATAGTCGAATCGAGCGGCTCGACGAGACAAATCCAACGAGCACAAGATCGCCAAATTCCGACATTATTAAGACCTTCAAATGTCTGACAAACGTTCCACAATCAAGGGATTCAACATCGTCGTTCCATCCAACCACTCCCCATTTATCCTTGATCTCTCATCTATTAACGGGTCATGCCACTCCAGAAATCTATAAATATTTCCCTTAATTCTCTTGAAGGGGGGATCCAAGCAAGAAGAGAAGAGAATAAAGAAGAGAAGGAAGAAGCTCCTCCTCGACCACCGCCGGAGTTTAGCCGGACCACCGCAGAGCTTCGCCACCACTTAAGGCCCTCACCTCCATCGGACCATCTCTTAACGTCGTTGCTTTGATGGACCACCACTTGAGGCCCTCACCTCCGTCGGACCACCGCTTAACGTCATTGCCCAGTCGGGCCACCACCTGAGGCCCTCACCTTCATCGGACCACAACTTGAGGCCCTCGCCTTCGTTGGACCACCACCTGAGGCCCTCACCTTCATCGGACCACCACTTGAGGCCCTCACCTTCGCCAGACCACCACTTGAGGCCCTTGCCTTAGCTGGACCACCACTTGAGGCCCTCACCTCTGTCAGACCACCGCTTGACGTCGTTGCTTTATCGGACCTCCACTTGAGGCCCTCACCTACGCCGGACCACCGCCTGACGTCGTTGCTTCGTCAGACCACCGCCTGACGTCGTTGCTCTGTCAGACCACCACTTGAGGCCATGTGCTTCACTAGTTCACCACTTGAGGCCCTGTGCTCCACATGGCCACCACTTAAGGCTTGAACTTCCGCTGGACCACTGCCTGACGTCGTTGCTCCGTTAAACCACCACCTGAGGCCCGGACTTCTGCCAGACCACTTCCTGAGGCCCGGACTTCCGTTGGACCACCACCTGAGGCCCGAACTTCTGCCAGACCACTGCCTGAGGCCCGGACTTCCGTTGGACCACCACCTGAGGCTCGAACTTTCATTGGACCACCATCTGATGCCCAGACTTTTGCCGGACAACCACCTGAGACCCGGGCTTCTATCGGACCATCACCTGAGGCTCGAACTTCTGTCAGGAAACCACCTGATGTTCAGAGTTCTACCAGAGTACCACCCTACTACAACGATCTTTCTGACCTCGATCTCATGCATATTATGGTCCTTCCGACCTGTATCACCGGATAATGATCTTTCTGACCCCAGTCTCATGTCAAACAAACTTGTCTATGTAACTCCCATCATGTAATGTGCTCTACATGATGTACGTTTGTGACATCAAGCAAAGGTCTTCTTCTAAGGAAGGGCCTCATTTGTAATAGACTATAAATTCTAGTGGATTCATTCAAACTAGGGCAGACCCCGTGGTTTTTCCCCCTATTCAGGGGTTAATTTCCACGTAAAAACTCTAGTGTCTCTTTTGAATGTTACACTCTCTCTCTTATCTGCTTGTGTGCTGGATCTTCGTACAACGCTAAGATATTAAACTATATATTTCTCTAACACCATGAATATTCCAGGATGCAACAAGAATAATTATATTCAAAATAAGCATTTAAATAAATAAATAAATGAATGAATAACCACTCACCTAAATAAGCCAAAATTATAAAAACGATTAGATTTTAAGAGTAATTAAATGATAGGAGCGTAATTAAAAAAATTAAAAATGAAAAAAAACACAAAATAAAAGTAGGTTTTATCGGAAAACATGAAATATTTTTGGGTTTGCTTTTAAAAAGCAAAAATAATTTGAGTTTAAAAAAAAAAAGTTTGCGTTTTCTTTTGAGTTTTCAAAGAAAACACAAAATTTTTCACCAAAACCCATTTTTCTATGTTACGGTATGCCAAAAGTCTAAAAATAATAATAAGATAGAATAAAAATGCTAGATCTTGGAAATAAGGAAATTTAATATATATATTTAATTAATATCAACTAGCATTTTTTATTAAGATAGAATTAACTTTTAATAGTAATCTTATTATATTAATGTTTTCATTACTATAATGTTAGATGAAAGTAATAGTTTGATTTAGGTATTATGCAGGAATTTATTTAAGAAAAGGTAATATTTGAGAAAACCTTATATTTTTGAAATATGTATTTGCATTATCTGATGAATAAATGTTAGATCTTTCACTTATTTATTGGAGGACCAAAGGTTAACTCGAAATTTTTTTGCTTAATAAGATATGCTTTATAAATTTATATAGGTATGTAATTGATACGTCCTCAAAAATTGCCTTGATCGAGCACGAATCTCGAGGTATATTCAAATTGGAATTTTTTTCAGGAGACTTACAATCAAATCGAACATCTCAAAGGGACTAACCGAACAACACCGAAATTTGTCCAACCAAAGCCCAAATGGGTCCAAATTGGGGGCTCGGACCACATTTGGAAGGGTTAAAGCATTATTTGGATAATGAAATGATATCCAAATATGGCATGCTTATAGTCAAATCGAGCGTCTCGGCGAGACGAATCCAACGAGCCCAAGATCTCTAAATTCTGACACTGTTAAGGCACTTAAACAGTTAAAAAACTCTCTATGATCGGGGGAATCAATACGAGCCATCCGATAGAGCACTCTGAACCTGCCCTGGATCTTCTTTAGATTTACGGGATGTGCCACTCATGAAAATCTATAAATAGACCCCCACTCTCTACATGAAGGGGACCTTTGGCTTGAGATTGAAGAGAGCTCTGAAGCTTCAAGAGCTCTAGCACCACCGCCGCCTGTCGCCGGACCACCGCCCGGCTGCCGCTTGCCGTCGGACAACCGCCCGGCCTAAATTGTTTTAATTTAATTTGAAATAAATTTAATCAAATAATTTTCTAAATTTTAATATCAAAATTAATTAATTAATTTAAATAATTTATAAATAAAATTTATTTTAGGTCTTATTATTATTTTTTGACTTTTGGCAGACAAAAAACATAGAAAAATCTTTTGGGTGAAATTTTTAAATTTTCTTTGTAAATGCAAAAGAAATCTGCGTTTTCTTTGGAAAAAAATCAAAATTTTTTGCCTCTTTTTTTGAAAACATAAATTATTTTTGTGTCAGAAAATTCAAAAATATTTCAGGGTTTTTTGTTTTGGTAATAAGCTTTCGTTCTATAATCTAGCCATCAGATCAAATCTAAACGACTCAAAACGTATTTTGTCTGAACCGTCCGGTTTCCAGAACCGGTACCAATTTTCCTGTTCGGTGGTTGAGCCGGCGATTCAAATCTGCCGGCCGGCCAGTTCGTAGTTCAACCTGCCCTTTCCAGTTTTTTAAAGCCAGAGATTTTTTTTTTTTGGATAAATCCTTCTTCTATTTTGCATTTTTGTTTCGTTTTTATTTTTTATTTAATTACGCTTCTATCATTCAATTACTCTTAAAAATGTGACCCATCCTAAAATTTTGCCCCCAAAAACCTCGCGAACGTATAGATTGTTATTTCCATTAGTCAACGAAGGAGGCAGCAGGCGGGAAGGGAAGGGAAGGGTGAGAGGGAAGCAGTCGATGCCGATAGAGCATTAATGGAGTCTGTGTTCAGAGCCGACGTCCTAAAGGGGAAGACGGCGCTCATAACGGGAGGGGGTTCCGGGATCTGCTTCGAGATCTCTACACAGTTCGGGAAGCATGGCGCTGCCATCGCCATCATGGGCCGCCGCCGCCATGTCCTCGACGCCGCCGTCGGCACCCTTCGTTCGCAGGGCATCCGTGTAAGCTTTCTTATTAATCTCTCTGACTCTCTATTCCTTCTCCTTTTTCATCCATCTCCGCTAGGGATTTGGATCAATAGTTCAATCTTTCATAATTTGTGCTGAAATTAATATTAGATCAATAAATATTGACAATAGCAACAATAGAAGTCTTGTAATTGTAGAGAGTCTTATTTAAATAAATCTTAAAAAGAGCCCAAAGGTGTATGCAAAAGAGTTATCAAATGTTATTCAAGATGACTCCTTAGATTGTAATTGAGAGGAATGTCTAGAAAATCCTTCATATTATTCTCAAGATGGAGATATTTAATATGAAGTTCGTAAGTATCTATTGAGATGTAGGGATCTTCTTATAAGAAATTTAAGTAATCGGGAAGTAGTTCTATTTGAGAAAAATACTGTTTTGTGAAGCATGAGACACGAAAAATTCATCTCAAATTAAAGAGCTTTCTTTCCATGCATTATGGTGCTGATCCACTATCTTGAGTGTTGTTAGAACATGTTAGGCCATAATGTTCGCTAACAATAAAGGTTTTTGTCCTTTAAAATCTCTCTTTTTCCTTACATCTTATACATGTTGATGCAGTACTACATGTATTACTCTACTAGAGATTTTAAGTGCTAGGCCTTGGTTGTCAATGCTAGGTCAAGACTCAAGAGGGGCTGGATTCTGGCTAGGAATCGTATGACTCAAACTTTGCCTTCACAGTTCACACTAATCTAGTGTAGATAATTGATGGTGTCATTGACCCTTCCTAGGTACAACAAATTTAATATCTCGAGAGATTTGGTGCAAGGGGTTTGAGAGATTAAAACTTAAAAGATAACTGAAAAAGTTCAGGAATGTATATTATTTGTATATAAGAAACCAAAGAAAAATTCATTATATGTCATGAAAGATATTTGAGAGAAGTTTTAAAAGATATTTTAAGAGATATTTGACATAATGAGTCATCTGAGGGATGTTTTTCAAAGATGTACTCTATAAACTCCTCGATAGAGAAGCACTGTTGTTCTTGTTTCTTAGGAAGTATGTACTTACATTTTCATGTTATTGAGAGAACCAATCGCCATGAGTAGTTTAACTTTGAAGTTAATTTAGCACTTCATGTAAGCATTTGACCACCTAGTGACATATATTTGATAAAATATTGAAACTGAGAGACATTACAAGCAAACATGTTGATATTTCACCAGTTTTTATCAAGTAACAACTTTTTGTATAAGATTTCATTGTGGGTGAACTTTCTTGAAAGAGGGAGAAGTTTTATTGTAAGGGGTACTATCTTTAAATATAAGTGATCACGTATTCTAAAAATAAAAGGGCAGATAATTAATAAAACATTGTTAATTTACAGAAAGAATGATAAGAGAGAATAGTTAATCTTGTTAACTTGGAACTTCTTGCTCTTGAGCATTGGAAAGCTACAACTCCAACTCTTGGTTTTCCAACATAGTAATGTAATTGTTATTATTTTTTGTTTCTAGTAGTTAGTCTCATTGTGTAATTTTGTTTAATTTTTATTTACAATCAATCAAACATATGATTTCATCGTGCTTTTTAAATTCTATGTGAGGTTTTAGTTTTACAACAATTAAATTGTCATGTGCGGATTTCTAATTCTTGTGATGCATTGATACTCCATCATGATGAAATATGTTGTATTGAGCACATTGATTTGTCTGAGCCTCGCCTATCGCATATAGGGCATGCCAACTAAGTGTCCAATTACAAAAAAAAAAAAAGTCCGAAACATGTGTTATCTATAATAAATTTTTTACATTAAAATTATATTATATAAATAATTCATGCTAAGCATGAATGCATTGTGTTAATGCTAGGATATTCCCCAATAATGACACTTTGTACGGCCTGGATATAGCGAAAAGTGTGCAAAGGCTATTGTATCGATGCCTGGGTGCAGAGTTAAATAAGCAGGGGTTCCCATATTATGGATGAATGTGAGCAAATAAGCTAGTCTATGAAACTAGGATTACGATAAGAACTTGGAATATAAATACTCTTACATGGCAAAATAATACAATCAATAAATATTATCATTCATAGGAAGATAATTATTCTATGTATTCAATAAACTAATTGGGTTGGGAAAAAGATTTAGGTGGAAATCTTACTAGAATTAATATAAGTGTGATTATATATAAGAGTTTTGATGTCACCATTTTTTTGATTGGGCACAATTCTTGATGCAAATCTAAATTGAAAACTTTCAAAATTAATTTTGGGACCATCCAAACTCCGAATTTAGTAAATTTATAGTTAAATTGAACATCTCAAGGAGACGAACCCAACGGCACTAAATTCAGTCCAATCATAGCCCAAATGAGCCCAAATCAAAAGACCAAAGCCTATTTGAAAACTTCAAAGCATTAATTTGATAACCAAATGATATCTAAATTTAACATGCTTATAGTCGAATCGAGCGGGTCAACGAGATGAATCCAACAAGCCCAAGATTACTTAATTATAACATCATTAAGGCACTTAAATGCTTAACAAACGCTTTATGATTGAGGAAATCAATATTTTAATGGAGCACTCCGAATTTACCTTGGATCTTCTTCATATTACAGAGCATGCTACTTCCAAAAAACTATAAATAGATCATAATTCTTCACATGAAGGGCGAGGGATGAGAGGAAGCTTAGACCATGGGCTAAAGAGTTAAGAGAGTTTTAAGGCTTGAAAAATCTTGGAGCTCCACCTCAGAACCATCAATGACGAATCCTCGCCGTCCGACTACCATATTGTTAGACTTACGCCTGAGGATCGCCGTTGAACTTCCATCCGGTCGTCACCGCTGGCTCTCTGCCCGATCTCTGTCTCTTGTCGATTACAGTTCTTTCGACCACCGTCGTTCGCTGACTATGGTCTTTTCGACCACTGTCGTCCAACTACGATTCTTTCAATCTCCCTTGTCCGTCGACTACAATCCCTCTGGTCACTGCCGCCCTACTACAATCCTTTGACATCCGTCACTTGTCAACTATGGTACTTTCGACCACCATTGCCCAATTATTGTCCTTTCAACCTCCATCACTTACGACTACAATCTCTCCGACCTTGTCGCCCAAATATAATCCTATTAACCAAATGAGCAGGCCAGCTCTTTATTAGGAACAACTGTCATGTCATTTTCTAAATATGTAATGTGCTATATATAATGCGTATTAGCTACATTGAGTCACCGCCCTCTTTCGAGGAAGGGCATTTTTTGTAATCAAGTACTAACACTAGTGGAATCATTTCGACTGGGCAAGGCCCCGTGGGGTTTTCCCTTTTTAGGAATTTTTCACGTAAACATATTAGTGCTTCTTATGACTCTTGCACCTCATTTTTATCTATTTGTGTGCTAGATCTTCATATAAAGTTAGGACGCTAAATTCTACATCTCTCTACTGCTGCAAATGTTCCAAGATACACTAAGTTTGAAGAATAATGTTGTAGAAATTAATTGAATTGAAGATACAATTATAGTTTTAAAGATTATTGTTGATGTTAAGATTATTTATTTTATAAGTGCTTATGCTCCTTAAATAGGTTTATATATGTTCAATTTTTTTTTGAAATTACTTAGAAGGATTAATGCAAAATATACCTTTTGAAAAAATAGTTTTTATTTGAAGAGATTTACATGAACATGCTGTAGAGTAGTAGAAGAATTTTAAAGTATTCATGGTGATTGTGTGTTTGGAGCGACTAATGAAGATATTAGGATCATTATAAGATTTTGTTCTAGCTTATACTTTTATAATTTCTAATATATTTTTTATGAAAAAGATGAGCATCTCATCACTTATAATAATATATATAATAAATTTCAAATTGATTATTTTTTTATAAGAAAAAAATAATTTAGATTGCAAGGTTATTCTGAATGAAATTTTATGTATCAAATATCGTTTATTAGTTTTGAACTTTAAGATGAAAGGACAAAAAAAAAAGTAAAATCTTATCCTAGGATTAAATGAGCATATTTAAAGAATGATTATAAAATAATTTATGTGAGTAAAAGTTAAAATCTTTAGATTTTGATTATTCATAAAAAAACCTAATGTTATGTGGGAAAAAGTAGCTAGTAATATTAAAAATGCAAAATATGTGCTTGGAGAGTCAAATGAAAAAACCCATAATAGTAAAAATAGTTAGTGGTGTAATCAAAATATGTAAGAGAAGATAAAAAAATAAAGAGTTTTGTTATAAAAATATGTTTAAATATAAAAGCTCAAAAAATTAGGAAATATATAAAAGGGTCTGGAGGGATTCTAGGAAAACCATATGTAATGCTAAGAATTTAGATGTTAGTGATTTATATAATAGATTAAATACTAAGGAGGGGGAATGATGTATAAATTAGCTAGACAAATAGAAAGGATAAGTAAGGATAAAAAAAGAAAATGAAGTGTGAAAAAAGAATATGACTTGATGATATCTTGATGATATTTCAATAAAAGTGTAGACAATATATTTTGATAAATTTTCAACAAAAGAGAAAATTTTGATTTATCATCATTTTTGTTAATTGAAGCTAGAATGCTTTTAAAAGTATGAAAAACAACATGGTTTGATGATATTCCAATATAAGTGTAAACATGTTTAAGAGATCAAAGAATTTTCTAACTTACTAAACTTTTTAATATTATTTTAAAGACTAAAAATGATGTCAGATTAGTTTAGAAGGAGCATGTTGGTTATTATTATTAAGTATAATGGTGATGCACTAGAGTTTGTGAATTATAGAGGAATTAAGTTAATGTGTCATACATTAAAATTATGGTAGAGAGTAATTGAGCCTAGGTTATGATGTGATATTAATCTTTCTCAAAATTAGTTTGGATTATTGTCAGGTAGCTGTATTATGGAAGTTATACATTTTTTGAGAGATTTGATGGAGAAGTATATAGATTAAGGAGGATTTACATATGATACTTATTGATTTAGAGAAATTATATGATAGAATTTTATGAGAAATGCTCTAGAGAGTTATAAACAAAAGGTTAATAATGTTTATATTCAAGTCATCAAGGATATGTATACAGGAGCTATTACTTGTGTTCAAACATAAGGTGGTTTGAAGAAATATTTTCTTATTTTAGTTGGATTACATCAAGGATAAGCTTTTAGCCCATATCTTTTAGCTTTTGTCATATATGTTTTTACTAGACATTTGTGAGAAGATCTACCTTAGTGTACGCTTTTTGTTGATGATATTCTTCTTGTTTATAAGACTAGAGAAAGTTGATAAAAAATTTGAAATATAGAGGTCAAACTTAGAGTCTAAATATTTCCAAGTAGATCTTAAACCGAGTTACATGGAGTGTAGTTTTAATAGCAATAGATCAAGTGGCGGGATTGTGACATTGGGTGATCAAGTCATTAAAAAGAATGTGTATTTTAGATATCTTGGGTCTTGTGCTCAAAACAATGGTGAAATAGATGGGGATATATTAGTAGAATTCAAGTTGTCTGGTTGAAGTGGAGGAATGCATCGGGTTTGTTGTGTGATAGAAAGTACTCCTCAAATTTATCAGAAAATTTTATAAAATGGTAGTGAGGCCTACAATGCTTTATGGCGCAAAATGTTGGCCCTTAAAAGAGAAGCATAAAATTAAGTGTTGCAGATAAAGAGACTCAGATGTATGAGTGGTTTTACATTTAGAGGCAAAATGCATAATGAGTATATACATGAAAATGGTTGGTGTAGCTCCAGTGGCAGATACGATTAGAAAGAGTTGCCTTAGATGGTTTGGTCACATAAAATACCAGCATCTAATGAGCTTATTAGGAGAGTAGATGTATTATATTCGACCTATGCTAAGAAAGTTAGAGGTTGACCTGAAAAGGCTTGGTTGTAATGTATTAAAAATGATATTTTTAATTAAATTTAAATGATAATTTGACTCTTAATCAAACACAATGGAAAAGATGATTTATGTAGCCGACCCATGAAGTGGGATAAATGTTTGTTGTTGTTGTTGTTGTTATTGTAAATAATTCATGTTAACTTGTTAAGTCATCTCCTCTCTTTTATTTTAATATGCATTATTTAAATAACTTAATAGTTACTTAATACTAATTTTAAGTTTTTTTGGATATATGTTATTATGATTTTAGTATAATATTAATTTATTTACTTTTAATAAAAGAATTAATTTTTTCAACTTCAAGCTAACAATTTATAATATTATAAGATAATTTATTCTTCAGTTGAGTTTAAAGTATTTAATAAATTTAAATATATGTATATTTTTATAAGCAATTGAAATAAATATATTATTATATAAGTTCATTTCATATTTATTTAATTTAATCTATATATATATATATATATATATATATGCCTATTATACTGACTGGTCCAATGGATGTATGTGACTTAAACGTTTCAATAATAGAGGAGCCCCGTCTACGTGTCATGTTGTGTCTCTGTTCTCATGTCCATATCAATGCATTATAAATTAAATTTTCATCTAAATGGATGGTTAATTACCTAAAATGACAAACAAGAATTTAAGTGCTTGATCTTTTTCGGTGGTACATCATATAAGTTGCATTAGAAAACCTAAACCCTAAGATGTCTTGCATCAAGAATCAACCTGAAAGCTCTGGCCAGGTTCCATTAATCAAGTTCAAAGTAAACTTGATCGCCAGATACTTGAGGGTATGTTAATTTAATGGTCTTAATTGGGCAATCTAAATGAATATGATTGAATAAGAATTTGCAAAAATAGTTTTTGGCAAGTGTAAAAGGTATTCTTGAAGTTTGACAAAATCTAGCATGCTTACAAATATAAACTAGAACAGTAAGAAATAAAGGTGATAACTTTAACTTTGCAGATCCATGGTGCTTCATGTCTTTCAAAGCAGTCCATTCTCTTCACGATTTTCTAAGGACCAGGATAAAAATGCATGTAGTGAGGAACCTGTAAATTATCTTTACTGAAAGACATTAATCATAGTACTAAAGAATATTAAGAATTTTGTTAGTCATCGAAACAAGCTGGGTTCAATAGCATTAGTATGCCATATTAAGTGTCCCATGCACAGGATATAACATGCTTTCGCATCCTTACTTGTTCCATTAGTTTTTCCATTGCGCTGTGTAGATAACGTGTTTGTTAAATTGCAGGCTATTGGGATTGAGGGAGACGTACGCAAATCAGAAGATGCAGCCAGGGTCATTGAAAGCACAATTAGACATTTTGGAAAACTTGATATCCTTGTAAATGGGGCAGCAGGCAATTTTCTGGCATCCCCTGAAGATCTATCACCTAAGGGCTTCAAGACAGGTGATATATACTTGCTTAAATCCTTCTAATGTACTTTTTTATTTTATCTTTCAAGAGAATTGCTATAGAGTGATAAGAAATATTCAACATTTAGGCCATGCTTCACAGTATTATAGATTGGTACAGATTTACAGTGCTTCATCCTATGCAATATAACAAATGAGTGAGAGATTCAGAAAACTTTACCGCAGCAATAATAACAACAACAAATCTTTATCTCACTACGTGGGGTCGGCTGTATGAATCCTTTTTCTCCATTGTTTATGTTAGACCGGTCCAGCCGGTCCTCACGGGGCCAGCAAACCCCTCCGCCTCCTGTACGAGTCGCACAAGCTGCCCTTTTCAAAAGAGTAGATTAGGAAGGTTTTAGGAGAAGTTTAGGAGTGAAATTTGAATGTAGGGACTGTTTAGAGATTTTCTTTTGGATTGTATGCATTGAATAATTTGCTTTCCTAGGTTTAGGGCATCTTGAATTTGGCCGTAATTTTAGATCTCTTAGGTTTTTGGGCTCTAGCGACGTCTAGAGATTTGAGAGAGATAGATCATCCTCTCGAATAGAGGATCAATTTTATATTGTTATTTTCCTTCCGTTAGTTTGATTACTCCAATAAAAACTAATGTTTTTCTTATTCTTCCTTTGGATTGGTTGATCTCCCTCGCTGTTTTTGTCAAGATCATTAGGTTTTACTTGAGATCTTCAAGTGTTTCCTAACAAATTGGTATCAGAGCAGATTTTGGGACTGTTCGAGGGATTTTTTTGAGAAAATCAGCAGTTGATTGTTAGCCAGAAGGGAGCTGTTTTGTTATTTTTTGGAATCGAGATTCAGATTTTTAGTCCAACAAAAATTTGGGTATTGATGACGGCCAAGAAAATAGATGCATTGGATGAACGCCTCGAAGGGGAGATCGGATAAATGAAATATGAAATTTCAGATCTACAAACTCAAGTTTCAGATTAAAAAAAAAAAAGAATTTCAGTTATCCATGATAAGATCGATTCAAAATTTTTCATCCTGGGGATATGTTGAAGAAAGTGCTCGAGGGCCAAAAAAAAAATGTCGTCGGAGGTGAGAGAAATCACTGTTAACCCGCCGTATAAAATAAAAGAGAGAAAACAAAAAAAAAATTAAAATCAACGTACCTGCCATCCCACGCAGTCGCACGTTGTCGCCGCATTTCGCACGTCGACGTCTAATTAACTATAGGGGCTTGCGCCTATAGGAAACCAGAACTCAGATCATAAAGTCCTCACAAAATGAGGGTGAAATCTCTGGGTAGTGTCTTATTTACAAACCCATCTGCCTTCCAAAATTTACCCCGGAACTTAGTTCGTTAAAACTCCCTCGCCGAATAAGAAAAGCGAGTGGAGGCCGGGGCCGAATTTTCGGAGCCCACAATCACCGAAAGCCAGGGAAGTGGAGAAAATCTTAAGCCAATCAGACAAATGGAGGATCAAGAGGTGGAGATTTCCGAAGGAACAGAAAAAAGGCCTCCCCTAGGGGCCTATTCCCAAGGAGTCTGGTAGAGAGTATGTGGAGAGGCGTGAGGGAGTTGGGCATGAGTGGAAGGATGTTGAATTTGAAAGAAGAGGGGCTGAATTTCAAAGGCAAGGACTTGATTATGATCAAAGAGGCGTCTAATTTGAATTGAGAGGTGTTGAATATGATGGAAGGGGTGCTGAATTTGAAGGGAGAAGGTGGGCTTGTGATGAAAGGTTTGGGTGCGAGCGGAGGAAGGATGATTGGCACAATTGGGGGGGAACCACTCCCTTGGGGAATGAGAAGTTTTGGAAGTAGAGTTGATGGAGGAAATCTAAGAGTGAGGAAACTTAAGATGCTTATTTTTGAGGGAGAGTATGCACATGAGTGGATATAGATGGTGAAAAGGTACTTTACTGTCAATAGGTTGACGGATGAGGAGAGACTGACGGTAGCAGGCCTATGTTTAAAAGGGAAGGCTTTAGCTTGGTAATAGTAAAGGGACATGCGGCGACCCATACGGAGTTGGAGGGAGTTCAAGAAATGCTTGATAGAACGATTCTGAACCGGCATGGGAGGAGACTTCTACGAGCAGTTCCTCGCCTTGATAGAAGCTGATTTAGTGATAGAGTATCGGGAGAGGTTCGAGTACCTTACTAGCCAATTGGACCGCCTTTCTGAGACTGTGCTAGAGAGGAACTTCATGAAAGGACTGAAAGTTGAGATCCAGGTGACAGTTAGAGTGATGAGGCCTATTGAATTGGGAGAGGCTATGGATCCAGCTCAATTGGTGGAGGATCAGAGGCACCTGGAGAGAGAAATGATAAGCAACAACTTAGTATGCTCGTACAGGATGACCACCACCTTATTGTCATCCAAGGAGCCAACACTGAATACTCTTCGGGGGACTTCAAAGGAAAAGACTGCAGGAGGAAGACCTGAGGACAACATCAAGAAGCTCACAGAAACGAAATTACATGAGAAGAGGACGAAGGGGCTCTATTTCAGATGTGACGAGAAGTATACTCCGGGGCACACTCTTCAAGTTCTTACCGTTTGTGATGAAGAAGGAATGAAGGAGGGCGTCATCTTTACACCTTGCGAACAAGGTGGGCCTTTGGGAGGTGAGTATTGTTAGACTGGTCCAGCCGATCCACACAGGACTAGCTCTTACGGAACAGAGGCGGAACCCCTCCACCTCCTATACGAGTTGTACAATTCGCCCTTACCGTTTGTGATGAAGAAGGAATGAAAGAGGGCGTCGTCTTTACACCTTGCGAACAAGGTGGGTCTTTGGGAGGTGAGTATTGTTAGACTGGTCCAGCTGATCCACACAGGACTAGCTCTTACGGAACAGAGGCGGAACCCCTCCACCTCCTGCACGAGTTGTACAATTCGCCCTTTCCAAAAGAGTAGATTAGGAATGTTTTAGGAGAAGTTTATGAGGGAAATTTAAATGTAAGGACTGTTTAGAGATATCCTTTTAGATTGTATGCATTAAATAATTTTTTTCCCAAGGTCAGGGCATCTTTAATTTGGCTGAAATTTGAGATCTCTTAGGTTTTTGGGTTCTAGTGGCGTCTAGAGATTTGGGGGAGACAGATCCTCCTATCGAATAGAAAATCAATTGCATCTTGTTATTTTCCTTCCGTTAATTTGATTATTCCAATAAAAACTAATGTTTTTTCGGCTTTTTCCTTTGGATTGGTTGATCGTTCTCGCTGTTTTTGTCAAGTTCGTTAGGTTTTACTTGAGATCTTCAAGTATTTCCTAACAGTTCCATGTTAAGAGTCAAATTATTATTTAAATCTAATAAATAAAGGTCATTTCTAATATTTTATAACTAAGTCTTTTTAGGTATACCTCTTTCTTTCTTAATATAAGCCAAATTTAATACATCTATTTTCCTAATCGAGTCATCGGAAGGCCACCGTTTTATGTGACCAAACCATTTAAGGTGACTCTTTCTAATCTTATCTGCCACTAGAGCTACTCCAACATTTTCACATATATGCTTGTTTCGTATTATGTCTCTAAGAGTAAAGCCGCTCATCCACCTGAGCATCATCATCTCTACAACAATTAACTTAATATTATGCTTCTCTTTTAATGGCCGACATTTTGCGCCATAAAGCATTGTAGGTCTCACCACCATCTTATAGAATTTTCGCTTAAGTTTGATGGGAACTTTTCTATCACAGAACAAGCCCGATGCATTCCTCCACTTCAACCATGGGCGGATCCCCCCCCTTCAATTTTTTTTTTTAAATTTTAGAGGGGATAGTTTGGAATATTTTGAGTATTTTGGGTATTTTGCCCCCTCTCAAAAAATTTTTTTACCCTCATTTTATCAATCATAAGCATCTTTGCCCATCCCCCACCCAAAAAAAATTTTTTGCCCATCCTGAAAAAGAAGCTGGATCCGCCCCTGACTTCAACCATCCAACTTGAATTCTACTAATAATATCTCCATCTATTTTACCATCACTCTGAACAATCGATCTAAGATATCTAAAATGTGTACTTTTATTAATGACTTGATCGCCCAAGGTCACAATTCACCCACTAGATCTATTACTACTAAAATTACACTCTATATATTTAGCTTTAGATCTACTCAAAGGAAAACCTTTAGACTCTAAGGTTGACCTCCATAATTCAAGTTTACATTCAACTCCCTCTCTAGTCTTATCAACAAGAAGAAAATCATCAACAAAAAAATACACCAAGATTCAGAAAACTTTCCTTGCATAAAAATGACGAGGATATTTTACCCTTGCTACTAATTAATAATGCGGCAACTATTTGATTCTTTAGCTTTCTATTTCTGCTACTTGCTACAGAAAATCTGTGCTTCTAACAGTTCAGCTCTATTTCCATATATTTGTTTCAGTGCTAGATATCGATAGTGTTGGCACATATACAATGTGTCATGAAGCTTTAAAATATCTAAAAAATGGAGGTCCAGGGAAAGGCCCATCCACCGGTGGCGTTATCCTGAATATAAGTGCAACATTGCATTATAGAGCAACCTGGTACCAGATTCATGTTTCTGCTGCCAAGGTGAGATGATAGCATCCCTCCCTCTCTCCCTCCCTTCTCTCATGTTTGCATCAGCATTTCTTCTCCCTTAAAAAAAATTTAATGTCTACATCATACATTAATCTAATTCTGTAGGCAGCTGTTGATAGCATCACTAGGTCCTTGGCCCTGGAGTGGGGTTCTGATTATGACATAAGGGTCAATGGAATAGCCCCTGGACGAATTGATGGCACCCCGGGAATGCAAAAGCTTCGACCAAAGGAAGTGACTGAAACAGGACAAGGTTTAATGCCTCTGGATAGATCTGGAGAGAAATGGGATATAGCTATGGCTGCTCTCTACCTGGCTTCTGATGCAGGTTTGTACACATCTTACACATTTCTACTTGTAAGTATATAGATATTATTTATTTATTTTTCCTTTCCATTTTCTTTGTAAATGTAGTTACTGATTATGTGCTATAATTTTCTTTTAGTGAATATCTTTAATTACCGTGTATCTCCTTATTTTTAATTTATCTTCACATAAGGTAAATTATTAGGAGTCAGTAAAGAGTTTCATATGGACAAATTATTACTCATCTATTGCAAGTTTATGTTTACCCTTTCGTGAATCCTGGTGATTGTAGAAGAACTTTGGATTTAGTGTAACGAAAATGTGAAAGGGTTTTTGGTTGGCCATGAGAGGACGGCTTCCATTTGCTAACTTGATGGAAGCAATCAAAATAAATTTTAGCATGGACAGTTCACTTCTATTGCGGGAAGTTTGCTTTCAATGAGAATGCCAATGGAAAAAAAAAATGATTAATGCAGCAACTCCACGTAGTGCGATAAATGCTTGATGTTGTTGTTGTTATTTATATTAGAGATTTTGATGGAGATTTATATATTTATACTCACTAGGGGCCTTCAACAAGTTTTTATATTTATTTTATTTTGTAATTTAAAAAAAATTTAGGTTTTTTTGGACATGTTTTCGATGTTACTTATATGAACTGAATAGTTCTTTATTAATTTGACTCCCTAGTGCTAGATTGGTTTATGTGGTTAAACATAAAATTTGGAAGGTTCATACATGTTTGCTTGGGTTTGGTTTGCAAATGACATTTCTATTCAAAATGTGTTAAATCTGCTAGCTATGAATTGTTTAGGTGTTGTTTGATTGGATATTTTTAAAATGTATATATTAGAGCCGCAACATAATTAAAATGCATGCATTTTAGAAGTGTAGGAGTTGTTTGGTTGGATGTAAATCAAAAATAAATTAAAATATGTTGGATGACAATGAGTGCTGGTGAGGTGTAGAAGGTGATGATGTAGGCCAGTAATGATGACAAATTGGTGCTCGGCGGATGACAGGTGGTGACCAGTGGTGAAGGAAGGCAATAGTGGGCGGGCATCGATGATATGCAATGACCGATGATAAGCGATAATTAGGGTGCAAATGAGTTGAGCTTGAGCGAGCCATATTTTCATTCATATTTAACTTGTTTGAATTTTATGTTGTTTAAATTTACCTCGTGTTCTCAATTGTACTTTGAGATCATGCTGATGTTCGATTCATTCAAACTCCAATGACTCGTATTCTGCTTGAATTCAATTAGGACTCCATTAATATATTAAGTTAAGATTTCATCTAATGTTGCACCGATACATACACTATGACATGGACACATGGCAAGTCAATTATTGAAAATATAGGACATTGATACGACGCATAAATCAATATTAAGAATGACAAAAAAATAAGAGAGCAACATCATAATTATTTGTGTAGCTTATAATATCTAAAAAAATAAAGCATAAAATGTATGGTATAACTTCAAAAACATAAACATGTTGGGGATGGAAGTAAAACCACACGACGAATCAAACGAGAAAAATAAAAATGCAACGGAAATAAAAAAAGGACACCGGGATTTAACGTGTAAAAACCTAAAATCTGAAAAAAAAATCATAGAGCCACATCACACCAAGAAATTCACTATGAGGATGGGGAGAAATAAGTATAGATCTCTCTTCTCTCTCGCTCTCTTCTTGCTTCTCTTCTCTCTTACATTATTCTCAGAATCAAAACACGAGAAAATCAAGTAAATAACACCAAGGGGCGCCAACCTTCAGAAAAATGAGAAAGGAAACTCATCTTGTAGTGCTGCGACGCTCAAGCCTCTGTCAACAGGATGCTGCAGCACTCAGGTTTCGTTTGCTTTTTTGGTACTTTTGTAAAAGGTAATTTTAAGAAACATTGGTTGAGAAAATAGAGTTTTCTACCGGATAAGCATATGTAAAAAACTTTCTCAAAACAGCAGAAAAATAAAACAAATGGAGTTATTGGGAACTTGATTTGATGAACCAAATAGTAAAGAAGAAATGAATTTGTCATTTCAAAAAAGAATAAGCACCAAAAACTTCCAATCAAACGAAGCCTCAAACCTACAATGATGCAACACTACACATCGTTGCAGTGCTGAATCTATAGCGCTGCGGTACTATGCTCTCTATCGTTTCTCCCAACAAACTTTGCAGCATCCTGGGGCGCTTGGGAATACAACGTCGGGGTGCTCAGGTACACAGCGCTAGGGAGCTCGAGTACACAGCGTCACAGTGCTCGTGTACACAGCGTCACAGTGCTCGTGTACACAGCGCTAAGCATTGTACAAAAAATTTTTTCAAGTGCAAAGCACCCAAACTTAAGCAGGGGAAGGACTCCATGCACTTCCCAGCGAGCACAAGAAATTGGCTTGAGGTTTGAGGCAACAATACAACCCGATTAATCAACACAATTAGATTCCACATAGAACTAAAACAACTTAAATTGTCTAGTACAAGATGAAGCTTCAACTATTTAGTAGCTTTTTTTTAACTATTTAGTAAAATGAATGATAGGATTAACTTATTTGGGGGTTTATCTTTGACCTTTAACATCATCATCATTAAATATGATTGATTCCAATTTTGGCTCATCAAGAGAAATATTTGTAATATCCAATATCCCCTTATCATCAAATGACTCATACTCATCTCCAACATCACATCTTGTTATTTTCCTCCATACAATTTAGAGTCTTTCTTGATAGAAGACAAATGTTTATATGAACAAAATTAAATTTTCAATCTATTGTGGAGTAATTTTGTTTCTTTTTATCGATTGAATGAGTATGTGCTCTAATTTCTCTCACATAGAGTAGGAAGAAATCTGACCAAAAAGTTTTATGGTGATTGTTTGAAGTTGAGATGTCGAAACTGGATAAATCAACCACCGCATCTTTGAATCCATTATCTATCATGCAAAGACTTTTGATTATCAAAGTCTTCTAAATAACGAAAAAATTTTACAAGCTTTATATTAATCATTTTTATTTTCTCGTTATTTGAGAAAGAATGTTTCAAGCATGCCTTCCTCATTTATATTTTTATATCTTTTTGTGGAGAAACTCATTGAGGGTCCTCTTGAAGCCATTTTTTATTTGAATATATTTAAAGAATAGAAAAAAATATACAATAACTATTTAACAAATTGAGAATTAATTATGAAAGATATGTTAAAATTTACCTTAGATTTAGAGAGAAAGTGAAATAATGAAGATGTATGTTGCTTTTTCTAAACCTATTTTTCATAATAGCATAAATAACACCTCAGAAATTTGAGTCTTCATGTGACTTTCTTTTGTGTTTATATATTATCTCTTTCACTTAAACTAATATAGAATTTCACATATCATAAATAAATATAAATAAGTCTTATCTGTGTCCATAACTCTTAGCATCTCATAAATTGGATTAGTAAAACTTACAAATATACACAATCTCATCTCATCATAAATCATCCAATATATTTTTTTACATATCTTATTTTTCCAATATCATCCTCTTGATAATTAGACCATTTCTCATTTATCATCATTGACTGAAGTATATTTTTTATTTGCTTGAATTTTCTCTACATTATTATAATTGAGGCAAAATTAGTTCCAGCTACTGCAAGATTCTCAATTTTGAGAAATCATTAAATATAAAAAGTCTCATAAAGTGATTCATTATGAAATTTCTTATTAAAACTGCATCTCTTACAATTACCGTGACCCAATTAAATTCTTTGTAAGTAATTTCATTTGCTTTAGTATTATTAGTTGCACAAATATTCTTTAGAAGAAGATTGTGAGGATGCACAATACTGTGTGTTCATAAAATATGAGGATTTGCTTGCTCCACGAGTTAGTCTGTTTCTCTACAATCTGGTGCATTATCAGTAATGACCTAAATGACATTTGAAGGCCCAACCATCATGATTATATCTCTAATCAAATTAAAAATAAATATTTTATCTTTACACTTTCCTTCATAGTTGACAGCTTTAATAAACATTGGATAGTTCTTTATTACAACCATGAAGTTGATAGGTGATCTTCTTTGAAGATCGGTTCTCCCATCACAAACTAAATTAACTCATTTCTCCTTTTATACTCTTTTTGTTGGTTCAAGTAACTTCTCAATGTTTGCATTCTCCCCTTACAATAATTTTGATCTGGTGGCATTGTATCCTGATGGCACATAACATGCAAAATTGTTATTGCAAGAAAAAAGGAACGCATTCTTGTAATGAGGATTCCCTACAAGATTGAAAGCAATGCCAACTAAACAAAACATCATTCCTATTTATTTATCTCGTTGCTCTCTTATATGCAAATTAAATGTTTTCTCTAAAAAGTTATCTGCAACAGGTTTTTTTATTAGGTTCATATCCCTTCATTCTAAATGGTCTTTTAATGATAGTAACATCATCAGTTCGAGCTGAAGAAGATGATGAATGGTATAACGTATGGGTACTTTACAATGGTATATGTTTGGGAAGAGCTCTTTTAATCCTTTGCTTAGCTTCACTGATTATTTTTGGGCAATTAAGTCAACTGAGAAGAACTTTTTTTTGGACAAATTTTAATCTCATGATTAATAATTCTTAACAAATGAGCTTTAACTTTGGAGTATAATCCTTTATAAGTAGCATTATAGTAATTGCATTTGAATGCAATATTATTACCACATTCAGAAGATTTTTCTAATTTTGTTACATGACTCTCTCTTCAATTTTGGGCTTTGTTGATCCATCACCATTCCCAATTCCGCCACTACTTGAGCTTATTATCCTAAAAATAAACCAAAGGTTCAACATGAATTGTAGGCTCAAATGTTAGTGATCTAAATACAATGCAAAATCTAAATAGTCAATAACTTTATAGAAGGGTATAACTAGATTTTTAACAATAATAATATAAGCAAATTTTAATGATTTAGATGAATAAATTAGCATCAAGCTAGCATTATATGGTTAGGAGGAAGCACAACTCGACTAGAAAAACTTTAAGATGCTAGGAATTCGAAAATCTAAATAAGTGTCAGGCTTATGAATTGTTTCCATTCATCTACTTAAGAAGAAGGAACTTTGTATCTCAACTAAATTAAATCTCATGATTGTAGATGCAGACTGGTTTCTAAGGTAAATTTGTGGTGGAAATTAAATCTCATGATTGTAGATGCAGAAGGAATTTTGTGGTGGAAATGCAATAAATAACCTTTAGGAGAGTTATCTCCTTATCTGAGTAGGACAGATCCTGTTCACTTGGTGATCTCTTTATCTTATCTATTTTCTTCTTAAATAATTAGTTAGTAATGGTGCAAGAATCCCACATTTGCTCAAAATTACTAGAATTGGGATTTTATTTGAATGACAAAAAAATCAATTACTTAATTTTTCAATTATTTGAATTTTCATCAATTTCATCAGATTTAAGTGATCATTGCAATTTGTTTTTTCAATATATTTACTCAATCGTGTTTGTCCATCTGGTTAAATCTGATGAAATATTTACTGTATTTCTTTTAAAAATTTGTTCGTATTTTACTCTATTTGAAGGTAAATTTGTCAACGGGACCACTTTAATAGTCGATGGAGGTTACTGGCTAAGCCAACCTCGGCATATTTCCAAGGAAGAAGTAAAGAAAATCTCTAGGATTGTGGAAAAAAATTCAAGGGAGTCTACAGTTGGAATACCAACCAGCAAGCTATGACAGCATAATAACCCAACAGTTCTGCAAACTCAATTTCAGCTTCAACAACAGGATAGGAAGCCTTGTTAGCTATTCCTTATCCAGCAAAACGAGCCATAGTATATTATGCTGCTGTCTTATCATATGGAAATGATAATAATTGTTGTCAGTTCAATATGACACTTTCAGAGAACCAAGCTTTTATTATGCTGAGAAATATGATGAAGTGTTACATTGCTCATGCAATTTCATTTAAGTCTCAAATTGGATTGATTATTTTGTGCGGACACCGAACGTCGTTCAGAGACCAATCAGAATGTACCACATCATCTCTTGCTCAGTACCATAGCTCGGTACTGCTGAGGTGACACCTTTTGATTGATTTTCAAATGACGTTTTATGTCCGATCTCTGCACAGAATAATTTCTCTTCAAACTGACCAGTTCGATCTTCCTTTTAGAAAGCTGATTGTTTTTGTTGGGTTACTATTCTTTAACCTTTTCAATGAGATTCTGATGGTCTGTTCTTCGTTATGAATCTGGGGCTTTGATTTAAATTTTTAACTCAGTTCTGTTCTAAACTACAATTCAAGCAAGCATCCCAGTAGTGCTCCAATTATGGCTTTTTGAGTTCAGACTTGAGGGATTAGCAATTCCTCCAAATCAATGTGGCTTGTCATTTCAAAAAAATAATAAATATAATTAGATGAAATAATTAATTGTCAAGATTTTTAAATTTAATCAACAGAATATATCATAAAAACTTTATAGTATAAAAAATTTAAGCTTTTTTGATAAAAATTTGATTGGAATATTATGACTCAAGTCTTTTTAATTGTTTGAGGCTGCCTTCTTTTTAAAGTATAGGCAGGCCTTTTATGTGCGGTAAATTTGAAAATGATCTATCAATTATTTATATATGACTAATATAATCTCAAAATATCAAGTTTAATTTAATCCGGTGATTATTTAAAATTGATTCAAAATAGTCCTCAAAGATCAAATTGAGATCAATTTTGTATAATCAAATTGATCTCTATGAGACTAGTTGTCCTTCACATTTAAAATGGCAAACAAGGGTGAAATTGGCTGTGTGAGGCATAAAAATTGATCAAAATTCATCAAAAAGGCTCTTGTGTTTATCCCAAAAGAAAGAGTTCTTTAGTGATTTGAAATGGAAATCTCTTGAGTGATTTGAAATCTTAACTTTACAATCAATCTAGCTTTAAACTATCATGGTGAAAATTTGAGATTGGTTGGCTATGTTGATGTTGATTGGGAATAAGAAAAAGATATCATAAATTAAACCATGGATGTATTTTTCTTCTTGTTGAAGCTCTCTCTTTGGGCACCCCTACTCGGTACCATGGCTCAGTACTGAATGGCGTGGCTGCACCTGATTGGCCTCTAGATGATAAGCTATGTCCGATATCCGCACACCCAAGAGAAAGCATGTGACAGGCACTCAAATCAGAAATAGTGACGACTATTTCTTTCTGAGTAAGTCAAAGCCCATTGATTGCATGTTTTTTTAACATTTACAACTGACATATATAAGAACCTATCTTGGTGCTCCCAGCATTGCCTTCCTTGATTGTAAAAGGCCTCATATACTAATGTCCCTCCAAATTGAATGGAGGTGAACCAACTTCGTAATAATTTTCTACAGTTGTGGAAACCATATAAGAAGGTACTCAAGAATTCATTCTATACAACTTCTTTAATCAACATCATTATTAATGTTAATACTAAATGAAATGTTATCTTTCATATTTAACAGGTAAAATTACATAAACGCCAATGCCAGCAAGAAACTTGAGCAAAACAATGGTCCTTTTACTTCGCTAACAAGATTGGCAAGGAAAACAAGAGGAGGAAAGAGAGCAGAAAGGAACCTGATGACAAGCATAAATAAGAGCCAGCGATCTACAGCACTCTTTCATTTAACCAGGTGGCCACTTCATCTGTCGCCCACCAAGCACATGCAGATGAAGATGATAAACGGACTGACCTGTAGGAATAAAAAATAAAGAAAAAAGATACAGTTTTCAGTTCAGTGACCGTTATATTTTAAGCCTAAGATTGCAAAACTTACATGCACTAGGGCCATTATTAATAACAACTCTGTAGCCATCCGCTATGCCTTCCTTATCAGCCACTACCTTTGCAGCATAAAGAAGCTGACCCAAAATCTCAGCATGTCTTGTTTGAGCCTGAAACGATTGAGGAGAAACAAATTTAATCCCCATAAACTGCCTTTCCTCAGTTGTTCGATATTGCGGTATCAATAATAATGAAATGAATACAGCAAGCACATCAAGATGCATTTCCTGCTATGATGCACAGACGTGGACACGATGACACAGATATGACACGGACACGGCACACGTCAATTATTAAAAATATAGGACACGGACATGGGTTGGACACGATATTATAGTTTTTTATATTTTAAAAATAGTGTATAAAAATTAAATGAGTATAATTTTAAAAATAATTTAGAAATAATAAGTTATTTAACTAGAATTTGTGCTTAAAATGATTAGTATTAGGTTGTTGAGAGTCAGGCGTCGATGCTGTTTATCAGTCACCGAGAGATGAGATGAAAATACCTTCACTACCAAAGAGAAATGAAAATGAGAATATTCGATAAATGGGTATTAAGTGCGGACTTTGATTTGATATTGCGTATTGGAAATAAGAAATTTAATTTAAATCCTGCCAAATAAAAGAAATTACATTTAAAAAAAATCATAACATATTTAAGACGCGTGTCGGACATGCGTGCCCAATTTATATTTAATATTTTTTTAATCAAACACATTTTCGACGTGTTCGACACGTGTCGGAGTGTCAGACATTGCACGCCTCTTTGTGGAGAAGTGTCAGTGCATCACAGATTTCCTGTTGACAACTATATAAACTTGCGACAAGGATTTCATTCCAAATCAAAGCTAAAAGATATTGAACTCAAAGGCGGAAGAGAATAAACTTATACTGCCATTCAAGATCAGGAATCAATTTACATGTTTTCATTGAGTAAAAGCAATACCTTTCCAAGTTGGGTTAGTCCATCTCTGACCTTTGGTATAACAAGAACATGAACAGGAGCTTGAGGATTAATATCTCGGAAAGCCAACACCTTATCATCTTCATAAACAATGGATGAAGAGATTTCCTTTGATATAATCTTGTCAAAACTTAAGGTGAAACATAAGTTAATACAATAATGTGACGATTTGTCCCATGCATATTGTAGATACTTATAGATGCAAGAGATTAGGAGAAGAGCATCGAATTAAAGAACAGCAGAACAGAAATAGCACACAGAGTCGGCATCATGAAAGAATAACACGCATGGATAAGAAGAATCTTACATGGTCGGACCTCCACTTTCTGCACTGTCGGCAGCTAGTCTGGCTGAAGCTTCTTCATTAACCGAGGCAGATATATGGCGTACATATCTATGAACAAAAAAATAACCTGAGAAGCGCTATTTAGTTTAGAGCACCGATCAAATGACTTAAAGTAAGGTAAACCCAATAGAAATGAGTGGATAGCAAACATCAAGGTTTGAACAAGCTCGATCATTAATATGAGTGAAAGTCTGAACACATGATATTCTCTAATGAACATATCTAGTAGGCATATTCTTAATTTATCAACTAGTTTGAATGTCCCATGCATTATCTTTATATAAGCGATAGAATTATACCTGACAGAATAAATCATAAGTCTCTAATGAATATCTTCATTCAAATTATGCATTTGAAATGAAAATTTATTAGGTTTGGAATAAACAAGAAGTTAAACAAGATTTATCGGATTTCTCGGTCGATATCCTATGATAATTTCAAATTAACTCATTCTTGTAGAACTACTAACAAAGGAATTATATACAAACTCAATCAAAGATAGTATCAAATGCCAACCGGATGCATGCTCACTATTAGAAAGCATTACAAACAATCTAAACTCCTATTAATTATTTCAATTTGATTATCAGTTTGTAAGTGATAAGCTATTGAAAATTTTAGTTGGGTTCTTATTTTTTTTCCATATTGTTTTTTTCAAAAGTAACTCATGAATTTTAAGTAGTTGTCAGATACAATCATTTTAAATAAGCTGTGTAATTTAATCACTTAAGCTTAATTTTGTAATATGAGTTGCATCATTTTGTTAACAATTTCAAAGCAAAGAATGAAACGAGCCATTTTGCATCAACAATTTCAAAAAATAGAATAATTTTTTTAGCATTCATGGTAATCCTAGAAAAATTTTCATACTCACATTCAACTAAGACTATGAAATAAGCAAGAGAGTATAAAGCCAAGTATTATGTTTCTTTTCTTTAATCGCCAATCAAGTTCTATGTTGTGACACCATAAACGGAACATCCCCTTTTAAACTAGGACAACAATACTTAATCTCAATCATAGCAACACCACGAGCAAGCAAATCTAAGATGCAAAAATTCGCAGAGCTGAATTAGGGATTCAAAGACGAAATCCCTTAAAAAGAAAGTCATCCTTAATCATGAAATCCTTATTAAGCATAAAAAGCTATTTACATAAAAATTTCAGATTAAAGTTCTTACAATTGGTATAATCCTCTTAATGTAATAAAAATTGGTCACCTTAACTTAAATTGTCTAAGATGGCAATAACCCCACTTCAGGCATCAATGGGTTTATTTTCAGTTCTAGCATTGCTTTATCACATGCTTATTCCTATAAGAATTCAACCTATTTAGTATCCATATGCACTAGTTTCTGTTAGGAGTATAAAGTATTTTAAAGTTTGATGATCCAAATATAAACAAACTACTTGGGTAATAAGGAATGCCTTTAATATCAAAGTGACTGTACAGCAACGTAAAACAAAAATAAGAAATACCAAATTATCTATTTTGAAACATTTACAAATTAGATGACACTTTTTACATTTTCATTTTATTTAAACTATTCAAAATTCTGCAAAATAATGATGCTATTTTATGCTGGAATGCCCCCCTGACATACGGTTTTGGCTTTTTTGCTGAACAATGCCCAGCATCAGAACTGGTTATATGAAGATTTAACAAGCATTGGAATAAGCAAAAGCAAAAATAGCCTGAAATTTATCCATCTATCAAAAAGTATAAGTTGCACCTATTGCGCCTGGCTGCTTCATCTTTCATGACCATACCCCATCAAGGTTTTGGACCCACTTTTGACTAGATACATGAATTGTTTTTTGCTATATTAGAATTAAAGATGGAATGAATATCCAGATAAATTGGGAGGACTATAGAATATGTCAAGATGAAATAAACAACAATAACAACAACATCAAGCCTTTATCCCACTATATGGGTCGGCAACATGAATCATTTTTTTCCATTGTATTCTGTTAAGAGTCAAATTTTCATTTAAATATAACAACAAAGGTCATTTCTAATATTTTCTAACCAAGCTTTTTTTAGGTCAACCACCAACTTTCTTAACATAGGCCAAGTCTAATAAATCTACTATCCTAACCAAGTCATAAGAAGGCCAATGTTTTATGTGACCAAACCATCTAAGGCAACTCTCTCTAATCTTATCAGCCACTTGAGCTACTCCAAACTTTTCACGTATATGCTTGTTTCGCATTCTGTCTCTAAGAGTGAAACCACTCATCCACCTGAACATCCTCATCACTGCAACACTTAATATTATACTTGCCTTTTAATGGTCAATATTCTACGCCATAAAACATTGCAGGTCTCCCCAACATCTTATAGAATTTTCTTTTAAGTTTGAAGGGTACGTTTCTGTCACACAACATGCCCAATGCATTCCTCCCCTTCAACCATCCAACTTAAATTCTACTAACAATATACCCATCTACTTCACCATCACTTTGAACAATAGATTCGAGATATATAAAACATGTACTCTTATTAATGACATGATCGTCCAAAGTCACAGTTCCCCCACTAGATCTATTACTACTAAAATTATACTCCATGTATTCAGATTTAGATCGACTTAAGCAATAAACTTTAGACTCTAAGATTGACCTCCATAGTTCAAGTTTATCTTAAACTCCCTCTCTAGACTTATCAACAAGAAGAATATCATCAACAAAAAGCATACACCATAGTGCATCCTCTTGTAAATGTCTACTAAGAATATCCATGGCTAGAGAAAAAAGATATGCACTTAATGCTAATCCTCGATGTTATCCAACTAAAATTGGACAATGCTTGGTAAAACCACCTTGTGTTTGAACACAACAGCTCTTACATACAAATCCTTATTGACTTGAATATAAACATTTTTAATCCCTTTCTTTTCTAGAACTTTCCAGAGCACTTCTCTTGGAAGTTTATCATAAGCCTTTTCTAAATCAATAAATATCATATGTAGATCCTCCTTATTCTCTCTATATTTCTCCATTAAACATCTCAATAAAAGTATAACTTCCATAGTAGAGCTACCTGGCATGAATCCAAATTGATTTTGAGAAACATTAGTATTAACAAAAAGAATAATATGCCCATCTATTTCACCATCACTTTAAGCAATACCCGAGATATATAAAACGGTTGCTCTTATTAATAGCTTAATCGCCCAAAGTCACAGTTCCCCCACTAGATCTATTACTATTAAAATTACACTCCATGTATTCAGATTTAGATCGACTTAAACAATAACTTTTAGACTCTAAAGTTGGCCACCATAGTTCAAGTTTATCTTCAACTCCCTCTCTAGTCTTATCAACAAGAAGAATATCATCAGCAAAAAGCATACACCAGGTACATGCTCTTGTAAATGTCTAGTAAGAACATCAATGATTAAAGCAAAAAGATATGGGCTTAAGGCTTATCCTTGATGCAATCCAACTGAAATAAAAAAATACTTGGTCAAACCATCTTGTATTTGAACACAAGTAACAAATCCTACATACATATTCATAATGACTTAAATATAAGCATTATTAACATCTTTCTTTTCTAGAACTATCCATAGCGCTTCTCTTGTAACTTTATCATATTATTTCTCTAAATCAATATATATCATATGTATTACAAGAGCTTCTTTTCAAAAAATTATACTTTTGGGAAGATAATTCAAATAATTCAAACTTAAGGAATTGAGAAGAAATATATTACAACTCGTAGTTTGAGCTCCCAGATCTAACGGCATTCACATAATAAATATTTTAATACAGCAAGAAAGAATATCCGCATAAAATTTGGGATTTTGACCAAACCTCTGAGGCCGCAGGTACAAAGATGATGCTTGGAAGGTAAAGGTCGACTGACTGCAAATGGTTCTTACGGTCGCAGAAGAGTGAAGAACACAACGATGCCTATATTTTGCAATGAAAGTTGGCAATGAACTCATGAGAAAGAAGGAAAGTTGGACTGAGAAGAAGGGGAATGAGACTTAAAGCCTGCCTGATAATTGAGAGAGGAACTTTGAGAGCCGCGGCCATGACTGGAGAGTGGATGAAGCAGTCGAGTGATCTCCGGTGCGGGTTTCACGCCCTCAACGCCCTAGGGTTTCACCGGATTCACCTCCCAGCATCCACCAGTATTTCGAACCTTTTTTTTTTTTTAAGAAGTTGGGCTGATAAACAATCTCTAATATTTTATGAATAAAAAGTAAATTCTTATTGTATTATTAATTTATTAAACTTGGGTTACTATTCTTTAACCTTTTCAATGAGATTCTGATGGTCTGTTCTTCGTTATGAATCTGGGGCTTTGATTTAAATTTTTAACTCAGTTCTGTTCTAAACTACAATTCAAGCAAGCATCCCAGTAGTGCTCCAATTATGGCTTTTTGAGTTCAGACTTGAGGGATTAGCAATTCCTCCAAATCAATGTGGCTTGTCATTTCAAAAAAATAATAAATATAATTAGATGAAATAATTAATTGTCAAGATTTTTAAATTTAATCAACAGAATATATCATAAAAACTTTATAGTATAAAAAATTTAAGCTTTTTTGATAAAAATTTGATTGGAATATTATGACTCAAGTCTTTTTAATTGTTTGAGGCTGCCTTCTTTTTAAAGTATAGGCAGGCCTTTTATGTGCGGTAAATTTGAAAATGATCTATCAATTATTTATATATGACTAATATAATCTCAAAATATCAAGTTTAATTTAATCCGGTGATTATTTAAAATTGATTCAAAATAGTCCTCAAAGATCAAATTGAGATCAATTTTGTATAATCAAATTGATCTCTATGAGACTAGTTGTCCTTCACATTTAAAATGGCAAACAAGGGTGAAATTGGCTTTGTGTGAGGCATAAAAATTGATCAAAATTCATCAGAAAGGCTCTTGTGTTTATCCCAAAAGACATAATTCTTGAGTGATTTGAAATGGAAATCTCTTGAGTGATTTGAAATCTTAAGTGTACAATCAATCTAGCTTTAAACTATCATGGTGAAAATTTGAGATTGGTTGGCTATGTTGATGTTGATTGGGAATAAGAAAAAGATATCATAAATTAAACCATGGATGTATTTTTCTTCTTGTTGAAGCTCTCTCTTTGGGCACCCCTACTCGGTACCATGGCTCAGTACTGAATGGCGTGGCTGCACCTGATTGGCCTCTAGATGATAAGCTATGTCCGATATCCGCACCCCCAAGAGAAAGCATGTGACAGGCACTCAAATCAGAAATAGTGAGGACTATTTCTTTCTGAGTACGTCAAAGCCCATGATTGCATGTTTTTTTAACATTTACAACTGACATATATAAGAACCTATCTTGGTGCTCCCAGCATTGCCTTCCTTGATTGTAAAAGGCCTCATATACTAATGTCCCTCCAAATTGCATGGAGGTGAACCAACTTCGTAATAATTTTCTACAGTTGTGGAAACCATATAAGAAGGTACTCAAGAATTCATTCTATACAACTTCTTTAATCAACATCATTATTAATGTTAATACTAAATGAAATGTTATCTTTCATATTTAACAGGTAAAATTACATAAACGCCAATGCCAGCAAGAAACTTGAGCAAAACAATGGTCCTTTTACTTCGCTAACAAGATTGGCAAGGAAAACAAGAGGAGGAAAGAGAGCAGAAAGGAACCTGATGACAAGCATAAATAAGAGCCAGCGATCTACAGCACTCTTTCATTTAACCAGGTGGCCACTTCATCTGTCGCCCACCGAGCACATGCAGATGAAGATGATAAACGGACTGACCTGTACGAATAAAAAATAAAGAAAAAGATACAGTCTTCAGTTCAGTGACCGTTAAATTTTGAGCCTAAGATTGCAAAACTTACATGCACTAGGGCCATTATTAATAACAACTCTGTAGCCATCCGCTATGCCTTCCTTATCAGCCACTACCTTTGCAGCATAAAGAAGCCGACCCAAAATCTCAGCATGTCTTGTTTGAGCCTGAAACGATTGAGGAGAAACAAATTTAATCCCCATAAACTGCCTTTCCTCAGTTGTTCGATATTGCGGTATCAATAATAATGAAATGAATACAGCAAGCACATCAAGATGCATTTCCTGCTATGATGCACAAACACGGACACGGCGACATGAATATATCACACGACATGGACACGGGACACGTCAATTATTGAAAAATATAGGACACGGACACATGTTGGACACAACATTATAATTTTTATATTTTAAAAATAGTGTATAAAAATTAAATAAGTATAATTTTAAAAATAATTTAGAAATAATAAATTATTTAACTAGAATTTGCGTTTAAAATGATTAGTATTAGGATGCCGAGAGTCAGTCGTCGATGCCGTTTATCAGTCACCGAGAGATGAGATGAAAACCTTCACTGCCAAAGAGAAATGAAAATGAGAATATTCGATAAATGGGTATTAAGTGCAGAAGTTGATTTGGTGTTGTGGATAGAAAATAAGAAATTTAGTTTAAATCCCGCAAAATAAAAGAAATTATATTTAAAAAAATTCATAAAATATTTAAGACACGTGTGTCAGACATGTGTCAGACATGTGTGTCCAATTTATATTTAATATTTTTTAATCAGACAAGTTTTCGGCGTGTTCGACACGTGTCGGAGGAGTGTCAAATGAGTGTCATGTCGGATACGTGTCGGAGGAGTGTCAAACGAGTGTCATGTCGGATAAATGGGCATCTTTGAGAATAAGTGTCAGTGCATCATAGATTTCCTGTTAACAACTATATAAACTTATCAGGCGACAAGGATTTCATTCCAAATCAAAGCTGAAAAATATTGAACTCAAAAGGCGAAAGAGAATAAACTTATACTGCCATTCAAGATCAGGAATCAATTTGCATGTTTTCATTGAGTGAAATCAATACCTTTCCAAGTTGGGTTAGTCCATCTCTGACCTTTGGGATAACAAGAACATGAACAGGAGCTTGAGGATTGATATCTCGGAAAGCCAACACCTTATCATCTTCATAAACAATGGATGAAGGGATTTCCTTTGATATAATCTTGTCAAAACTTAAGGCGAAACATAAGTTAACACAATAAAGTGATGATTTGTCCCATGCATATTGTAGATGCAAGAGTTTAGGAGAAGAGCATCGAATTAAAGAACTGAAGAAAAGATATAGTACACAGAGTCGGCATCATGAAAGAATATGAAGAATCTTACATGGTCGGACCTCCACTTTCTGCACTGTCGGCAGCTAGTCTGGCTGAAGCTTCTTCATTAACCGAGGCAGAGATATGGCGTACATATCTATGAACAAAAAAACAACCTGAGAGGCGCTATTTAGTTTAGAGCACCGATCAAATGACTTTAAGTAAGGTAAACCCAATAAAAATTAGAACGTTTGAACAAGCTCGATCATTAATATGAACAGACGTAGCAGATAGAATAACGTAGGATGTTTAGGGTATATGATTGTTAATCAAACTTGGGATAAAACGCACAAGAAAAAATACCCAAAAAATACTATCCACATGTTAACAACTCTCAACTTAAACAAAAATCAGACACAATTGTTGTGAAAGTATTTTACATAATTTTTTCATGTCAAATGATAATTTAATAGTGCAAAAGTCTGATGCCTTCCGGAACTGTAGAACACTTAGCACCTTTAATGAAAGAAAGTAAATATAAAATAAGTATGATCCTCTTAAGGTTCGGTTTTTTTTGCTTCCAACAAGCACACACTTTCAAATTTCTAACAAATCTACCTCACCTGAAAAAAAAATCATGCTTCGACAAATTAAGCATTTAAAATCGTGAAGTTTGGGCATAAATGTTGTGCTTCTCATAAAGTAATCCATGAGTCATGCACTATCCATAATAGCTTCAGAAGTAAGGTAAATAGACACGCTTGTGAAGTGTTGAAATTTGAATATGAATTCGCTAGAAAGGGATGGAAAGAGGAAAAAAATACATAGTATGCCTAGTAGGTTTATGAAATCAAATCAAATCAAATGCATTAAAGACTAGACTAATACGAGTGCTTCTTGAGATTTTCAGTTTGCTATCATTAGTCCCAAATCACCCTAAAACCTTATATAGTATTTCCTTTCTTGTAGTTGATTTTTTAAAGAGAAAATTTTCTACATTTAGGCATATTATTAATTTATCAACTAGTTTGAATGCCACATGCATTATCTTTATATAAGCAATAGAATTATACTTGACAGAATTAATCATAAGTCTAATGAATATCTTAATTCAAATTATGCATATGATATGAAAATTTATTAGGTTTGGAATAAACAAGAAGTTAAACCAGATTTATTGGATTTCTCGGTCAATATCCTATGATAATTTCAAATTAACACATTCTTGTAGACTACTAACAAAGGAATTATATGCAAACTCTATCAAAGGTAGCATCAAATGCAACCGGCTGCATGCTCACTATTAGAAAGCATTCCAAATAACCTAAACTTCTATTAATTATTTCAATTTGATTATCAGTTTGTAAGTGATAAGCTAATGAAAATTTTAGATGGGTTCTTATTTTTTTTCATATTGTTTTTCAAAAGTAACTCACGAATTATAATTATTTGTCAGACGACACAATCATTTAAATAATCTATGTAATTTAATCACTTCATTAAAGCTTAATGTTGTAATATGAGTTGCATCATTTTATTAACAATTTCAAAGCAAAGAATGAAACGAGCCATTTTGCATCAACCATTACAAAAAATAGAATAATTTTTTTAGCATTCATGGTAATCCTAGAACAAATTTCATACTCACATTCAACTAAGATAATGAAATAAGCAACAGAGTATAAATCCAAGTATTATGCTTCTTTTCTTTAATCGACAATCATTTCTATGTTGTGACACCATACACTGAACATCTCCTTTTAAACTAGGACAATAATACTTAATCTTGATCATTGCTACAATATTATATTGACCGAAATTCTGTGCAACACAACGAGCAAGTAACACTAAGATAAGAAAATTCACAAAGATGAATAAGGGATTCAAAGACGAATTCCCTTAAAATGAAATTCATCCTTAATCATGAAATCCTTTTTAAGCATAAAAAAATATTTACATTAAAAAAAAAATCCCTGATTAAAGTCCTTACAATTGGTATAATCCTCTTAATGTAATAAAAATTGGTCACCTTAACTTAAATTGTCGTCACCTT